CCAGAAATTATTAACAGCAGCCTGAGAATACAATAAAAAGAATCCAATGCAGATTGAGAATTTTACAGGTTATGCCATCTACCACCATGTATTCAAAAAGATAGTGACTTTAGGCAGCTGTTTACTCCTTGATTTCCTCTCAATCCACTTCTTAAGCAAATCATATGAATATTAATGATATTCAGTCCTAAATTTCGACAAGGAAAAAAGCAAGTAACATAAAAGGAGCCAGAAGTAAGAGCAGGAATACGTTGTCAGAAAGCTAAACCCAGTCAGACACTAATCTTAACCAAAATCACATAAGATGCTTAATTCAAAATATAGTTTTTCATAATTACATGGGCTTTCATATCCCCAACAACAGCTTAGGGGTAGCATAAGAGTTCGAATTTTTGCTGATTTTATTGCTGGTAAATTGAGATACATCTATAGACAATTAGCAACCCCTATGTTAATGAGGCAACTGAAGAAGCAGTATTTCCTTAGGGTATCAGGCAGACTCGGCACAGTTCAAACAAATTATACCATCCATCAAGAACTCAAAATAGAAGCAAAAGTACTCGGCTACCTGATGAGCAATGTCAGGCCGGTAGTCAGCTGGATTCCGTCCATTTCTCCTCAGAAAATTCGCATGCTTGTCTGAGTTCAGAAGTTGATAATTCTGCATTATCAAAACAAAACAGAAACTACATAAATAAGTAAACCAAAACAACTGCTAGACCCCTAAAACCCAAAACCCAAGAACATAATATACTTCCTTATCCAATTTAATACCTTTCCCACTTTTGCAACCTCCAGAGAAGCCTTTTCAAGAATGAAAATAACCCCAGGTTTGTTGGCGTTTTTCTGGTCATCAGCAAGGACAATTGGAAGGCTGGGAAGTTCATTTGCTATTTCTTCAGCCCTTCTCTTCTTTTCATTTATATTCTCCTCATCTTCCTCTTCCTCTGCCCCTCCCTCTCCTGGGACAGATTTTTCTACATATTCTTCTTCTCCATTTTCTTCTTTATCATATTGCACCTTATCTCTCTTCCTTTTCTTGTGCCCTTTCATTTTGTAATGCCTCACCATTTTTCCTTGATCAAAAGCTCAAAAGAGCAAGCTTTTTGCTTGGAGAACCGGTTGAGCAGGGGAGATGAAATGAGAAGACAGAGGCAAGCCTTTGATAATTTCTACCGGATAGGGTTTTTCCAGGGCTTAGATACCCGATTTTCCAAGATTCCTTTAATTACATTCTTGGCCCTCAATATTAGGGAAATTAATTCTCTGCTTTTGCAATTGCATTCTTGACCATCAATATTCTAGAAATTAATTGTTTGCTTTTATTCTTCTATTTATTGTACTATTTGCACATCAAAACTAAATATATTTCCATTCTTTTAACTGGTTCGTTTGGATTGGCAGTTTTTCCAAAAACTGTTTTTGTCTTTGAGAAACAACACTTACTGATAAGTAAGTCTACAGTGGGTCTTTAATAAAACTGCGGCGTTTTTGGCAAAATACCCAATTGTCTTGTTTTCGGCTTTCCTTTGCCGACGCTACTTTGCCAAATTGCCTTCTGTGCTGAAGGCGAAGACAGATTCAGAACAGGGACCAGTCAGGAGCTTGTGCAAAGTACTCCTCTGAAGCACCATTGCCGGCCATCGAGAGGCGAAATTTGTGAGTAATCGAAGCAGATTTCAGCTCGCAACCTTCGAATCCAACCTCCTTCAGCTCGCGATTTCAGCTTGCGACTTCACTTCCAAACCTCCTCTGAGCTCCGACCCCCTCTTCGCTCTTCGATCCATCTTGCTAGTACACCCCTCTTTGAGAGCGACCTTGTCTGCAAGAGCCCATCCTCGCGCTTCAATCCATCAGGATCTTAACCCCCTTTCACAGCGAACAGCACATCTCGACAGTGACTGGCAGCTCCGACCCCTCTTCGCCCTTCGATTTACTGTTAAGGTTATGTTTCTAAGGCATTTTGCGGCTTTCACTTTACTGTTCTTGCTGCGTATTGTAAAGAATAATGTGTGGGATGTTCAAAATTTGATGTCCGGAAGCCCCAAAAATTTGACTGTGAGGTCAAAATTTGCTTGCTGCTTTCAATTTTCCAATTTGGCCATTTAGAGGTGTTGGACAGTAGAGTTAGAGATTAGTTGTGCAAAGTATTGTGGTGGATGAACCAAGTCTCGGCAATGCTGAAAATGAACCATGAAAAATTGAACTGGTTTGAATATTGAGACGATAAACTGGCCATGCTCTGAATTCAATGTCAGATTTCATTTTTCAAAATATTGAGAAAATCTCTTGACCACAATACGGCATTGACTTCAATTCATATCAGCTGGTCATGAATTTTGTCTGGTGCTGTTTTGCCGGAGTTGGTGGTTGCATTCGATAGTCCTTATATAAATTTACCAAGATGTCTTACTTGCTTGAGATTCATTAGAATTGCCTAAATTCAGTGAAAGAAGCATATGTTTGTGCTTCTGATGGAAATTACATGGAGAACGGCTGCTTTCCCATGAGTGTGTCTCGCTTTGTTGAAATGCGACTGCAGTCATGTTTTCGTATTATTGTAGTATTAATTCTTGTGTTTTTACCCCAAAATGAACTCTTTGATGCTATTTCTGTGATTTTAAATTGTCTTCTCCGGCTATAGATGAGATTGGTATCTGCAGTCTAACTTCATACTGCTGTTTGGTGCTACAAAACAGGGTAGGTTGGTATTTTCATTGCCGTTCTCTAAGGTTACATGCCCCCTATTACCCGCCGTGCTTCCAAAGGTAGTTTGCGTGGTTCTGACTCTGTTTACTGCCTTGTTTAGTGCGACTAATTTTGACTCGTGTGTAAACACAGGATTGAAGACGAAAAATTGTGACAATTGTTGGGGATCCAACTTAGCTTGGAGGGAAAACGATTTACAAAAGTACATTTCTAACTACTACAAGGTAATACATGCTAGTCCTCTACTTTCGCTACTTATTATTTTATCTCTGTTTTGTCCGGCCGATAGTATAAGTACCAACGTTTCTGATTGCCTTTATTTATGGGTTAATAAGATGAGAAAACAAAGGCGCAATCCAGGTGGGCAGAAATTTTATTTCACTAGGCAGCAGGAAATAGAAATTGCCAACCGCCTAGTCAGCATGCATAGAGCTAGTGAAATTAGGGACAATAATATTGGTAGCTACGTGGTTCCCGAGATTCAACAGCAGTTGAACTGCCAATTTGGCACATCGTTCACAAGGGACAGCATAAGAGCCAAATACTATGCCTTGCGAGAACTTACCAAGCTGTACATTGCCTTCAAGAGGCGGGAAACGGGACTGGGTTGGGATAGCCAGAACTTTACCTGGCTCATGGACGATAGCAAGTGGGCTGAGCTTGCATAGGTATTTTTTGTCAAGTAAACTGTTTTTATATCAATTTATGGCTGTTAAAAGTTAATCAGATTATACGTGCAGCTCCCTCAAATAACCTTTTGGCTGTGTTTTTTTTTTTTGTCAGGTGAACCCAAAATATTTAAAATTTCAAGATGACTGCACCGTCTACCACTTGCTTGAGGAGGTTTTTGTCAACCAAGGAGCAACGGGAGATTTCAGCGCTGGCTTTGAGAACGAGCCCCGTACTTCACCCGAGGAGAGATACATGGAGAATCTTGCCTGATCGTCACGGGGAAAGGGAAGGTCGAACGCTGCGCACGAGGGTGTTGAAACTGAGTTAGTAGGGGCAAATGAAGCGAAAGGGAGAAAGGGCAAAGGAAAGCGGAAATCGGGGGACATGTCAAGTGGTAGTCCTATGTTCACCGCCTCCCATTCAACTTCTGATAGGTACATGAAGGCTCTTGACACCATTGAGTCCCTGGTTAGTCGCCATAAGAGCAGCAGCATGGGCGTGTCAGTCAGTTCTCCGGACAAGTAGTGTTCCGGCCGCGGTGGCCCTCCCAAAACTGCCTATGAAGCTGCCATGGATCAACTTCGGGGAATGGAGAACGTTTCGTACGCCTCCAAAATGGCCGTGGCTGAAATATTGATGGATAAGCAAGAGCTGGCCATTTGGAATTTAGCACAATCGGACGCCGACCGCATCACATTTATGAAAATAAAAGGCTGTTTCCCGCCTGATACGCAGGAGCCCCCTCCCCCACCTCCGTTCTAGGCGTTTCATTTCCATCGGGAGCTTGTATCTGAGACTTGAGTTGTTGACTATGATTTCTTTATAGCCAACTCAGCTTGTTGTAGCATTTGCTACCGATACATTTGAGTGTTTTTTTTTCAGAGGTGTTGTGATTTGTCTATTTGGATTCCGGCCCCGTACTGGCCATGAGTTTGTTCAGTTTTTATTGCATTTGGTTGGAGTTGTTGAGTTTTTATTATTATTGATAATGTGTTTGTGGCATTGACTATCTTGGTTAATCTCTAAATTCAGGGGTGCTTTGTGTCCATGAATGCCCTGGATATTATATGTCGAAACGCAGGATTTGAGTTAATTGTGTTTGGTCCTCTGTTGGTTACTATTTAAAACCATGAGTAGTATATATTTTTGGGGATGACTTTGTGGGATAATTTCTAAGGATTAGGAATGTGGTGCTAGTTTTCATTAACAACAGGTTACTCGTTTTAAGGCATTTGTTCATAGCTACAAATGTTGTGAACTGAAATGGCAAAGTAACATGCTTTCCTAAGGTATATGATTGGCCAGGTTTTGTTGCTGTCCAAATATTCACTTATTGGCTTGTTAGTAGCTGTCTTGACTTGGAATCTTATTCACTGTGGTGAATATATATTCCAAGAGCTATTGCCATATAAACAGAAATCATGTGGCGGATTTTTGTTTTTCAGATTTGTTGCCTGAAATAGCATATAACCTGCCTTCTTGATTTGCTGATGCTATATAGCTATTTGCCAGTATGCTTTAATTAGGAGATAATGGCGTTGTTGTTGATCATGCCTTTTGAAAATGGCCTTTTTTCTCAGGATCACGAGTGACTTTGGCTGCCCAGATCACATTTGGAAATGGAGTATGAGCATTATTTGCAAGGTGGGGTTTTCTTCGACGAAGGAGATGAGGAGGAGATACTTTTGACCTTCATCTACTTTGTGCTTGCTGGATTGGCTCTGTTCGACCCATATCTAAACCCTGTGGAGCGCCGACGAATTCGAGATGGTGCACAGTCGGGTGCTCAATGGGTTGTAGAACTCATAAACGGCCATCGAGACAGAATATTCGACAACCTTCGAATGGAAGCTCCGCTTTTCCTCCAGTTATGTGATTTGTTGATTGAGAGGGGCTATTGGGAGCCCCACCCGACAGGACGGGTAGGCATTCACGAGTCTCTCGCCATTTGCCTTCTTTGCTTGAGTCATAACGAGCGACATAGGGTGCTAGCCGAGAGATTCCAACGCACAACTGAGACCACGGACCGTCATCTACGACGATGCCTTCGATCTCTCGTTCGCTTGGGACGCGACTTTGTCCGGCCGATAGATTATCACACGACGAATCCAAGAATACAGAACAGTGCTACGTTTTGGCCCTGGTTTAAGGTTAGAGATATTTTGTGAAATCTCTTATTAATTATAATCTATAGGAGACTGAACGTCTACTTATTGTGATTAGGATTGTGTTTGAGCTATTGATGGAATACATGTTTCAGCTTGGTGTAGAGCCGAAGACAGGGAGCGTTATCGGAATAGGCATGACGGCTTATCGCAAAATATATTAGCAGTGTGTGATCATAATATGCGATTCACTTATGTTAGGGTAGGGTGGGAGGGTAGCGCACATGATTCTAGGATCTTAAAAGATGTCTTACTTGATCCTAATTGTGCTTTTCCATGGCCACCAGAAGGTAATTTGGGTATTAAATCATCCATTTGGAATTTATCGCATGACTTTTCTTAAAACATTTATAGTAATATTTATAATGCACTTAACTATAATTACTTTGTATGCAGGGAAGTATTATGCGGTGGATGCGGCATATACGAACATGTCAGGATTTATGGCTCCCTTTAGGGGTGCACGGGGAACCCAACAGGAGCGGGCAGCAAGAACACTTTTCAACAGACGCCATGCATCTTTACGGAACATTATAGAACACACGTTTTGTGTTCTTAAGAAGCGATTTTCGATACTTAAGGGCCCCATGCAGAACTATTTGATGGCGACACAGAATAATATTGTCCTGGCTTGCTGTGCATTGCACAACTTTATGCGCGATAATGTCCCGAATGACGCATATGTTGTTGAAGAAGAGACTATTGCAGCACAGGCAGATAATATAAATCATGTGGTGGATCAAATGGCCGGCGCAGAACCACTGGATATGTCGCCTCAAGGAATTGCTGGTTGGAATGAATTCAGGAGCGCCTTGGCAAACAGCATGTACTATCACCAACATTAGTAGCTCCATTTTGTCGTTATCTATTTTGTGCTTTTGTAACTAGTGGGCGGATTGCGAATGGCAAACCATAAATAATGGTTCCACGGTGGCTATTGTATATGGCATGTACACTTATGCAAAATCTCTATCTATTAAGTTTACTTTTAATTATACCAGTGTTGTACTGATAAAGTATTTTGTTGAATGAAATTTATTGATTTTTTTAATTACCAATTTGAATGATGTTTTTCAAAAATAGCTAATCCAAACCAGCTTGTTTTTAAAAAACAAGCTGTTTCTCAAAAACAAATAATCCAAACAAGCTTGTTTTTGAAAAACAAGCTGTTTCTCAAAAACAGCTAATCCAAACAACATTTGCTGTTTTTCAAAAAATGAATAGTATAGTTTTTAAAAAACAACCCCAAAAACAGCCAATCCAAACGAATAACAACGTTCAATCTTATGATTCAAATTAGTACATGTTACATGCCGCATCTGCATATAACATTTGTAGCCTCTTTTTTTTTGGTGTTTTTTGATTTTGTATTTAATCTGCATTTTAATTTAATAATCTTGTAAATAAACATTTAAGGAATATATTTATGTGGATGCTTTTAGATTTACATAATTGGGCCTAGTAGTTATCACAAAATTGAACTGATGCACTAGGACTAATTTAATCAATTCTGAACCAAAACTTCTAAAATTTCATAATTAAATCATCAATATACTCCTGAAAGTTTAAAACGAGCGTTTTTGGAATATCACTTTTATCATTTAATAGGAAATTAAAAAATTAATGTTCTATCTTGTTTTTGAAAAATTCATATAAAACTTCTACACTATTAACTTACATTAATTAGTTTCAACGGGTGACAATGATATCTTTGGATTTTTTTTGGAGTGATTATTCCTCCACGATGAGTAAAAACCTTTCTCTTTTTGTCACTCAAGAGATGCACATATAAAAGTGAAGCTCTATTTAATAATAATTTTTTTAACTAATGACATGAATATGGTATAAAGGAATTTTTATGCTGTTTATGAGCGTAAAAATGATTAATCCTTTTCTTGAAAAAAAGATTTTTTTCATTTTTTATGAGGCAAAATAACTATTACAAAAAAAAAATATTAAAATAAAAGAAACAAATCCAGATAAACAATTATGTATTTTGTAAACCTATAGTGGGATAATTGTTTGCAAATTGCAACTATACAAAAAGGTTTTTAGTTAAAATTGCCAAAATATAAGGACCGGATATCGGCACATCGCCCTATGCCTATAACGGGTCGGTTCAAACACTCCCCGCCGACCCATTCCTCGGCTTACTCAAAAAAAATAATGGCGGCCAACTTCGTCCACCGGTAAAACCCACTCCAAAACCCTCCCCTCTCTCTCTCTCTCTGGAAAAAAAAAAAACACGCACACACACACACACATTATTATTGTTCATTTGATTCTGTATTCTCCCAAAAAAATGGCGAATCAAGGTGGCGGGACCTTGAAATCGATGTCGATAAATGGGGTGAAGATGTACACCGTCACCGGCCAACACCGGTCATTGGCCACCTGGCTTCCTCCCAAGAAGCTCCGAGCTCTCCGCAAAGACAAAGGTCACCCGGAAAGCTCCCCCTTTTCTACGTTTTGTTTAACAATTGTTAGAATTCTTTCTCTGGCTTCCCCTGTTGGTTAATCCCTTGCCTTTTGTGACTAATTTTTGAGCTGATTTGAAGCTTAATAAGTACTTTGGATTAATGTTAGGGTAATTTGCACCTAAGCTTCTTAGAGTGTTTTGATTGTGAAGAAAACTGCCCTTAGGGTGCTCCCCCCGGGGGGGGGGACGGAATTGTTGTACATTTTAATGAGTTGATTGCAATATGAACGTCAACTTTGTCGACCACTTTTCTTTGTCAGATTTGCTTGCTTTTGAAAGCTTGTGGCTTTGCAATGTTGACTTAATATTTATGTTTGTGCCGAGGTTTTAGATTATATGCAGAGAGTGGATTTGATCCAGGATTTGAGGTTTGAAACTGCAACAAGTAGAATTAAGGCAACATCAGATGGGGAATACCTTATTGCTTCAGGTGAATATTAGTAGTTTTGAATCATAAAATTATACATGCTCCTGCTTTGGATTTATGTTTTGAGATGAAATGTGGGTGAGTATCAAGCTTTTATGTTATCTTCAATTTTAGGAATATACCCACCACAAGTCAAAGTGTACGAGTTACGTGAGCTATCCTTGAAATTTGAAAGGCATTTGGTGTCAGAGATAGTAAACTTTGAGGTAATTTCTTCATCTTGCAATCTTCCTTGTGGATGCTGCATATGATTAGCAATGTATTGCTGCTAATTTACTGATGTGAGTTCCTAGACTATATGCTTGCTCTAACCCAAGAATTCTTTTGCATGGTAGATGTGGTTTCTTTGTGAAATGTGTTAATGCATCACATTTTTCAACTTGTGAGTATATACTCTTGTGTTATATTCTTTTTTTTTTTCTTTTTTAATTTTTCTAGCAGGGGAAGAGTGGGATTTAACAAGCGGGAAGGGGAAGGGGGATTTGAACTTAGGATAAGTCCTAAGGCCTCAGTGTTATATGCTTTGTCATGATAAAGATTAAGTCATCTCAGTGAAGTATTTATTACCTTGTATGAACTTCTTTACTGTCCAAACTGGACCCTAACAAGATTATTAATATCCTCTTATGTGTCATGCATAAGTGTGTAGAAACTTTTAATCTGGCATACTGATTTATGATACAGCTGTGCTGGTGGGGTAGAAATGATGACCTCTAGAAGGATGTTTTAATGGTGATCCAAAGAGTCCTAAAATTGTTAAATGGTTCTTAGTAATCTGCTGGTCAGCTTAGCAGTTGTTTATTTGAATTTAGGAGTCAAATGTGGTGTGTCTCTTTTTGCATATGAATGTTGCTGAAATTTTTTTCTTCATTCCACATTTGTTTTTTTTTTCTTTTATGATCTTAGTTGGAGTCTTCGTTGTCTAAGTTGGGTTGTGGACTTGAGTAATATAGGCGGTTTTTATTTCTTATACTATTCTTGCAGCTAGTATATTACCATAGAGATTTGATTAATAAGCAAATCATTTCCATTGAGAATTATTCCCTCTCAAATTCCCATCATTGTCTTCCCTTTTTGCCTTTTTTTTCTCGTCACTTTTCTGGGGTCCTGTTGACAGCCTGAAAACAGACTTAGATTCTCTTCAGTCTTCCATTAGCACTGTTAGGAGAGAATACCATAATATTGTCCTCAGTCAATTGGCCTGTCTTTATTCTTTGCTGAGAAATCTTGTCTTGTAGGAGTTTGTTTGATTTGTACATACCTTTCCTGCAAGCTTTGTAGTTTTAGTATAGGTTTGTAAATAGATTTTATATTGAATTCTGAGGTGATGGCTATCCCAGTGAAATATATTTCTATTTCTTCTAAAGTGTCTGAAATGTCTCTCTCTGTTTTCTTGAAACAGCATTTTGTGAATTTTGGGTTTTCTTGCTCTTTTAGGTCTTGAGTGATGACTATTCAAAGATTGCGTTTCTCTGTGCTGATCGTTCTGTTTGCCTACATGCCAAGTATGGAAGTCACTACACCTTGCGGATTCCAAGGTATTTTACTAACCAATCTTCATAATATGTCTTTGCTGGTGATCTCTAAGGAATATTGCATGTGAGATTTCCTCCCCTTTATCTCTTTCATCTTAACTTAGTGATGGAAAATCGTTCGAATGCTTTGGATTTGAAGCATGTACAAGTCTAGTTTTGCTCTACTTAGGAAGTTTGGCGTTTGCTGTTATATAATAGGATTCTGATTCACTAGGCTAGTTCAATAAAGCGCACATATTCATCTTGAAGGTAAGATGAAAGGTTGAGCCTAAAGTTTGATGATATAAATGTCTTTGTTTTTTTAGGCAATGATTTAAATGTCTTTATTAGTTAGGAAGTACAGATCTTTGTCATATTTCATCCAAAAATTAGGAACTCCTCCTGTTTGTATCGATTCTGTGCTATGAGAGATTTAAAGAATGTCCCTTGAAGCTGTCTGAGTACAGGTTTTCCTGATCTCTATTGGTTATCAAAATTTTCTTGTCTGCCCTACTCTAGGTTTTGCTGGTAATGGTTTTTTCCTGTAAAATTATGTAAATATGGTTTTCACCTAGTGAAACTTGTTCTTTTTGGTTAAATGAATGAAAATATTTAAAAATGAGGAAACTGTAGTATGAGCAAACCTAGTTGCAACTGAAGTTACATGAACTGTAAGTCACCTGTAGAGTCACCCCATACAAGAAAGGCTGGAACATATTGACATTGGTGAACAAGATTTGTAGTCATGTTGATCCTTGCTGTGTCCATAACTTATAGGCAGTCAACTTTGACCAAACTTATATTCATGTTGCATAATTAAAGCCCTGAGTCTCTGGTAATAATTGTTATAAGCCCATATCAATATCATCACATGGTCTGGTACAAAGTCTAATTTTGATATAAGCAAATAGTCTTTTTGCATATGTGCTGATGGGAAGTAGTATGGATCCATTCATTTCTAAAAGATTGATGGGCGTCATCACTTGATTGTCCATGTATTCTCTTCTGTTGCCTGAAACCTATGTTTTCTCTCGCGGATTCCCCAACTTTCCTAGATTTTTCTTTTCTCCTCTAACATTTGCTTGACGTTTTGGTTTTTCTTATTGTATGAACAGGATGGGAAGGGATATGGCATATGATTGCTGGTCGTGTGACTTGATCTGTGCTGCTTCATCTCCGGATGTATATAGAATAAATTTGGAACAGGTCTCTTAAAAATTTCTTTTGCTTGTACCCTCATTGTTTCTATGGGTTTTTTTTTTTTTGCCTTTTTCTAAAACTTATTTGGAGTATCTTTCTTCAAGTGCTTTGTTTACTTTATTTTCTTCTTTGCTGGCTGTTTTGAGGCAATAGAAGACAGTCTTGCAGAGGCTGTGATAAACTCCAACTGAACTTGTAAAATTTCAAATCCCATGAAACACTGCA